TATTTTAGTTCATTCATTTTACAGGGAGGGGGAACTTAATTGTTAAGAGACATCAGGGATGTAGCTTGGGGAATACAGTTATGTATTCCAAACACTACAGGGTTCCTTTAAGTACTTTAAATTGTTGACACAAAGCCTTACTCTAGAGACAACTTGGTAGTTTCCAAAACATTTTGTAGCCTGCATTTTTTTATATTAATGATAAAAGTACACAAGATCTGATGATTGCTTGCTGTTACTGCCCATTTGTGAGTATCCCTTTAAATTTACTGTTCTAGCTGATTCTGTTCTATAATAAAAATGTGTTGGATCCATTTCAGTTATTTCAGTCTTAAATGCACCAATTACTTTATAATGTCTGTCATCTAAAACTGAAATTTTATGTTTGCAACTGCCTAAATATAATAATTTTAGTGAAATGGAGAGGAAAGAATATTTACACTTACAAAGGGAAAAGTCTCATTATTTGACAAGCCTTTTTCTTTTGGCCATCTGTGAAATAGTATATCTATGAAACTCAACTTTTTAAGTTTGCAAAAAGAGAAAGAGTTCATAAAATATTGCATGTTTTTGTTGTGTTTTGAAATAGCACTGAAAGTCAATCCATGGCAAACATAAACGTGCATTAAAGTTGAATAGATTGAATATAAGTCATGAATGCAGCATTAGACTTAAGCACGGTGGAACATTTTGTTTCAAATGGATAACTTTGTCCGAACATAAAACAATTCAGGTAGGCAGAATTTGGTCCATGGTGGTTTGGCTAATAAGAGTTTTGTCCGCCGAAAAGTATTCAGGAAAAGTAATCATCTGAACCAGAAGGGAGCGAAAAAATGACCAATCAGTGTACTTCAAAATATATACATGCACCTCGAGGAGGACACGCCCCCAACCGTGGCATACTACCTGCAAAGATGCTCCCGTTGTGCTGAACCCTTCTGGAGGAAGTCTCGCACCCAGGCAGACTATCTCTATTAGAGATTCATAGTGTGTTTGTACAGTGCAGCCCTCTCCATCACCAAACAGTCATACTTTTCCTCTCTCATTAGTTCATGCTCCCACAATCCCAGGCATCTCTTTGACATCTTTAACTCTCTTCTTCGCCCTGCTGTGGCCACCCTCCAAACTAACCTTACAGCTGATAGCTTTGCATGCTACTTTACCGACAAGATTGAAAAGAATACTCCCTACCTTGCCGTTCTCTTTCTCAACCACACGTGCCTTTCCTACCCTTCAGACTTTCTCCCTGGCTACTGAACAAGAGGTGGCTGCGCTTCTCCTTTGTTCTCACCCCACCACTTGCCCGCTTGATCCTGTCTCACCTTATCAGATCTCTCTCCCCCTGTCTTGTGCCTTGCTTAACACATATCTTCAACTGCTTTCTCTCTTCTGGAGTTGTTCCTGCTGACCTTAAACATGCCACTGTAGTACCTATCTTGAAAAAAACATCTCTTGATCCGTCCTCCCCCTCTAACTATCGTCCCATATCCCTGCTCCCTTTTTCCTCAAAGCTTCTGGAAAGACTTTTCTTTACCCGTATGTCTCACTTCCTCAATTCCAACTCTCTTCTTAACCCTCTTCAATCTAGCTTTCCGCCCTCTTCACTCTACTGAGACTGCTCTTATTAAAGTTACTAATGACCTAATCGCAGCTACATCCAAAGGCCACTACTTCATATTAATTCTTCTTGACCTCTCTGCTGCTTTTGACACCGTTGATCATGCTCTCCTTTTTCAAACTCTTCAATCACTCGGTCACTGTCCTCTCGTGGTTTTCCTCTTATCTCTCCCAACTTTCCTCCTCCTAATACTGATCCTCCTCTTTCGCTCTCCCTTCAAGTTAGTGGTATCCACATAAGTCCATCCTTGCAAGTGCACTGTCTTGGCGTCATATTTGATTCTGGCCTCACCTTTGAGCCTCACATCCAGTATGTTGCCAAATCCTGTAGATTCCATCTTAAAAACATAGCCTGCATCCGCCTCTTTCTTACGCAAGATGCTACCAAGGAGCTTGTCCATGCTCTAGTAATTTCCCGCATGGATTATTGTAACCCTCTCCTAACTGGTCTTCCCAAAAACGGTATGGCCCTGCTACTGTAATGAATGCTGCAACCAGACTGATTTTCCTCTCTAGTTTGTCCTATCACCCCTCTGTCAGTCCTTACATTGGCCTCCTGTATCCTGTAGGAGTCAATTCAAAGTGCTAACCCATACCTATAAAGCACTGGACAATTCTAGCCCCTCTTATATCTCTTCACAGATCCATAGGTATGCCCCTTCTTGGTCTCTCCACTCTGCCTGTGACCTTCTCCTGTCCGCTGCTCACACCCGTACAGCCAACTGACGCTTGCAGGACTTCTTATGGAATAGCCTGCCTACTGCCTTCAGACTCCCCCCTAGTCTTGCAACTCTTAAGAAGTGCTTAAAAACCCATCTCTTTGGGAAAGCTTATGGCCTCCCAGAGTAACCTCTACCTCACATACCGGTCTCTTGCTCTCTCCTAAAGGGCAGCACTCTAATCTCTCCTCCAGTTCTGCTTCACTTCCACCTTATTTGATTGCTATTGCCTGTCCTAATGTATTTTATACCCCACTTCCTATAGAATGTAAGCTTGTTTGAACAGGGCCCTCTCCAGCCTATTGTTCCTGTAAGTTTTCCTGTAATTGTCCTATTTATAGTTAAATCCCCCCTCTAAAAATATTGTTAAGCACCACAGAATGTGCTGGCGCTATATAAATGGCAAAATAATATTAATATAATAATAATATCAAGTGAGAGAATTTAATTAATAAAGAGAAAAATAAAAGGTGATTTCTACATATTTATTAAATATATAATATATAAATATAGAATTATTTTTTTTAAGCTCCTCCTTTTTTCCTCTATTGGTCACTTCTCACTTAGTTTGTTTCGTGATTCGTCGTGACCATTCGGAAATCGGCCTAAATTTGGCCCAAATTCGGACGAATTGCAGTTCGTAATGAAATAAAAACTCCAATTCTATGCAGCATTGCTTTATACTTTATATTAAGGCATATCATACTGAGCCAAATAATGTACAGTATATACTCTTGGTCCACTGGGGCATATTTCATTAAAAGGTTATTGTTCTGTTACATGTGAGTTCAAAAATTACTATAATTAGTCATCATAGTCTTTAACGTTCTCCACATTCATGTGTGTTATCTCACAAATCAGCTTTGTTTTTCAATTAGCTGTTTTTATCCTGCTGTTTGTGATTGATTGAGGGGGCACTCAGCTATGCCCATGCTGTACAGTATTTCATTAATTTTAATAGCCTAGCTATTACCTTGGCTTTTTTTTATTCCCTTTTGTTATTAATACAGGTATGTTTATAATTTAGTCCTTAATTATTTTTAAATCACAAAAAAGATGCAGACCTGTCCCGTTAGAGTAATTTTATTTTTTTGAACCTAAGGCATTCCAGAGCTGTTCCCCTTCCTCAAGATAAATTATGATGATGAAATAATAAAACTGTCAAAGGTACTAAGATAAATTACACCCTGTGAGGGTCTGTACTCTGTAACCTCAGAGGAAATAAATTAGAGACAAGGAATTTGCCCTTAATAGTATCATAGTGTGACATGTCAAAGGTTATGTTCTTGAATTTGCATAAAATATACTTGTAATATTTATCATGTTAGAGTCCACTATAACGTTAATGTTAATTGTATTACATGTATGATATGTATTTTCCATATTTTATTGTATTTTTACCCCATAAAAAGTCGATCAAAGCTGTGTCGGATAAATATAAGTATTTTTCAATATTCATTACTTAGAAATGTTTAAGAATGTTACCGGAATCAAAAAGAAAAGAACGAACAACAATGGTGGTAACAAAATAACAAAAGAAGCATCCATTTCTCTTCAATTTACTGGTCAAAAAACAAGGGCAGATTAAAGCGTTTTATTTAGCATCTTCTGCTGTCATTTCACTCTCTAAGTCACAGAGACCGTGTTGGACGACCCTTACAAAAAAAACATTTTTTACTTATAGTAAAGTGTGTACTTTATATTTTAAGATGTTTAATGTGTCTTTAAGCATCACTACCACTTTGGAGGAGCTCTATACAGTCAGCAAAAACAAGACCTGAAGCTGACTGTGGCTCAGACCATGAGCTTCTTATTGCAAAGTTCAGAATTAAACTTAAGAAAAGAGGGAAAACCATGAGACCAATCAGATACAACATAAATAATATCCCTTGTGGATATACAGTGGAAGTAAAGAATAGATTTGAGGGACTAGACATGGACGATGGAATGCCTGAAGAACTTTGGACTGAAGTTTGCAATATTATCCAGGAAACCACAAGAAGAAATATCCCCAAAAGAAAGAAATCTAAGAAGGCAAACTGACTACCTGACAAGGCTTCAAAAATAGCCCAGGAAAGAAGGAAAGCGAAAGGTAGTGGAGATCGGAAAAAATGTCCAACTGAATGCAGAATTCCAAAGGATAGCAAGAAGAGACAATGAGACATTCTACAATGAGCAATGTAGAGAGATAGAAGAAGATAACAGAATGGGAAAGTCAAGAGATCTATTCAAAAAAATTGGTGATCTAAAAGTTACCTTTCATGCCAAAGTGGGTGTTATTAAAGAGAAAAATGGCAGGGACTTAACAGAAGAAGATCAGATAAAGAAGAGATGGCAGGAATACACTGAAGATCTGTACAGTAAGGATCTTAACAGCAGTCATGACCTCAATAGTTGGTCCAATGAGCAAAGTGAGATGGGCCCTAGGATACCTTGCAGATAACAAGGCTGCAGGAGCTGATGAAATCACAATTGAACTATTCAAAATAGTGCAAGATGATGCTATGAAACTTCTGCTTGCCTTATGCCAACAAATTTGGAAAACTCAACAGTGGCCAAAAGACTGGAAAATGTCAGTCTACATCCCAATCCCAACAAAAAGGCAATGCCAAAGAGTTCTCCAATTATCGAACAATTGCACTAATTTCACATGCCAGCAAGGTAATGCTTAAGATCCTACAAGCTCGACTCAAACAATATATGGCTCAGGAATTACCAGATGTAAAAGCTGAGTTCCGCAGAGGACGAGGCACAAGAGATCAAATTGCCAATGTACGATGGATAATAGAGAAAGCCAGAGAGTTCCAGAAAAACATCTACTTCTGCTTCATAGACTATTCTAAAGCCTTTGACTGTGTGGATCACAACAACATGTGGCAAGTTCTTAGAGAGATGGGAGTACCATATCATCTCATCCGCCTCCTGAGGAATCTGTATGTGGACCTAAAAAACACAGTCAGAACCGAACATGGGACAACTGAATGTTTCAAGATTGGGAAAGGAGTGCGACAAGGTTGTATATTGTCACCTTATTTATTCAACTTATATGTGGAATACATAATGCATAAGGCTGGGCTGGATGAATCCAAAGCCGGAATCAATAATCCTGGAAGAAATATCAACAACCTCAGATCCGCGGATGATACTACTCTGATGGCTGAAAGTTAGAAAGAACTAAAGGACCTATTGATGAGGGTAAAATAAAAGAGTGCAAAAGCTGTCTTGATGCTCAATGTTAACAAGACTAAGATCATGGCAAACAACAATCTCAGTTCCTGGCAAATAGATGGGGAAGAAGTGGAGGCAGTGACAGATTTAATTTTCCTGGCATCCAAGATCTCTTCAGATGGTGACTGTAGTCATGAAATTAAAAGACGTCTGCTTCTGGGGAGGAAAGCTATGGCAAACTTGGACAAGCTGGTAAAAACTAAAGATATTACACTATCAATATACGTCCGCATATTCAGAACTACGGTATTCCCAGTAGTAACATACGGATGTGAGAGCTGGACTATAAAGAAGGCTGAGCATCGTAGAATTGATGCCTTTGAACTGTGGTGTTGGTGAAAACTGCTAAGAATCCCTTGGATTGCAAGAAGATCCAATAAATCTATACTACAGGAAATTTAAGACAAACTGTTCACTGGAAGCTATGATCATGAAGCCGAAGCTAAAATATTTTGACCATATAATGAGAAGGCATGATTCTCAAGAGAAGGCTCTGATGCTGGGAAAGATTGAAGGCACACGAAGAAGGGGACAACAGAGATGGAGATGGCTAGATGAGGTCACTGAAGTCACGAACATGAAGTTGTTGGAGCTCAGAGGGGCAGTGACTGACAAATGTACCTGGAGTGCTATGGTACATATGGTACATATGGTCACGGAGAGTCGGACACAACTTTGCATGCCTTTTAAATCCTTCTTTGTCCCACTATTTTTTTCTTATGTCTATTATTTAGAAATTAGCCTTTTTATATAGTTTTACACTACTTTTATCTTATGTAGAGTGGGGACTTTATCAATCTTTGGCAATGGGCATAGGATAACCAAGATTCCTTTCTAATTGTCAATGTAATTTACCCATCAGTCAAAAGAGACCCAAAGAAGGGCACATCACAGACATCATTGACTAAGGAGAACAAAATGGAGGCACCCAGTTTTTAAGGTCCAGCACAAGGAAGAAAAGATAAAAAATATAAATACAGTCAAGTGATGGGGGTGGGGTATTATGATTAAGATGCAAAGAAGATAAGGAAAAGAAAAAACGAATAAAGATGCAACGTAGCTGTAAGCCAAGGCTCCTGTATAGACCTGCCCATTTTCCTTACATTTTTCTTTTCATGTTGAAGTTGCTGTCCTACCTGTTAACATGGATCCCATCATATCACAGTGATGGCTAAACCGGTGGCAGTCCTGCTGTTGGGGATACAATACTCATGATGCAAAGCCAGCTGAATGGTGATAATGTTAAATAAATACATTGACACAGGTGGATTAGTAGGTGCTGCATCCAGAATGTATTGCAGATGCTGCCATGTACAATGTAGATTTTGTTGTGGTGGGTCGCCTCAAGTTGCACAACAAACAAACATTAAAGGAAGAGATATGGTAGACATAGATTTCCTGATCTCAGTAAGCAAGCTATCTCTCCCTAGCAATGCAATAAATAAATTGAGAAGCGATTGCATCCTTAGTACTGAACAAGCAGATCTTCTACTGGAGGTCAGTGCTAGAATCACCAAAAATCTGCATAGGACTCTGCATGTTGATCTTCTCCTCAAGCGCTATTTGCCCCTAATAAATGTGAGTTTAATCCTATGGAAATGTATATGTACTAAACTATACCTGAAGATAACATGCCCTAAACAGTGCTTTCTGTACATATTTTCATAATTTGCATGCTCTGGCCGTCTATGGGAGGAGACGAAAGGTGGGTCCAATCTAAAGGCACAGGCGGTACCAACCTGCAGAAGGCTTCATCTTTAAAAGCTCTGTTTCTTTGTAATTAGGACAATTTCCTTAATAATTTAAGACCAGATTCCCTTTCTTATATTAACCAATATATATTTTTGTATCTTCTCTTTCTACACAAAAAATTAAGAAAGAAAGATACACTGCTACAATATGGTATATTATTAGATACACTGCTATGTTATTTATATTTTTGCTCTAAGTAGGACTCCACTTAACCATTTGAATTGAATTTTATTTTGTTCTTGATATTTTATATATATATTTATATATATATATATATATATATATCACACTTTGTATCTGATATACTATTTAGAGTGATTATATTCCACACACTAGATTTGTTACAATAGGAAGCATTTACTACTTATCCCCGCTGTGTCCGGGCTGAGGCTAGTGACTGCACACACTTTTCGGTGTTTGACAGTCTAACACGTCCAGGTCCGGTGCAAGGATTCTCGCTGCCCTAGGCAAGAATCCATTTTGCCGCTCCCTCTTGAATGCAACCACATTCCCTCAGAGGTTTATCCACTAAACTCTGAATTCCATTTATGGAAAAAGACACACTGAGTAGACATTAAAGGGAAACTATATGTGCCAGGAAAACAAACTTGTTTTCCTGGCACTATAGCTTTCCCCTCTGTCAAGCGTCCCTACCTTGTGGTGCAAAAGGGGTAAAAAAAAAAAACTTCCGTCACTTAACGGGGCCGAGTACTGATGTCTCTCGGTGCTGGCTCAGTTCCACCTTCACTCCTCAATGGCCGCATTAGAATTTCCCCATTGGAAAGTATTACACATGCTTTCCTATGAGGTTTTGTGAGACGCTGGACGTCCCCATGCATAGCCACTAAAGGTGGAGTTAACCCTGAATAGTAATCATTTCAGTTTGTTAAAAACTACAATAATTATTTTTAAAGGGTTCAGGGCCCTGGGACAGTGCATCCAGACCACTTTAATGAGCTGAAATAGTCTGGGTGCCTATAGTGTCCCTTTAAGTGAAAGCAGACGCACGGTGAGACATTTAGAGAATGGCAACAACCTGGGGAGACATTTAGGGAAAGGATAGAGAGACTGTTGAGATATTTAGGAAACAGAGACTGGGAGACATTTAGGAGAAATACATATTAAGCACAAATTTTAGAAAAAAAGAGACACACTGTCACTAACACACACACACTGTCACTCAAAAACAAGCTCACACCACTACATAAAGTCACACTTTATTTAGAAATACAGCAATATAACACACAAAAACACACACACACCAATTTACAACCATTCATACAATAAACAGTCCTCTTTAGCCTACCTGGGTGCTGTGTAGAGGAGAAATGGCCCAGGCTGCAGGACGTTGTTCCGTCTTTCTCCTGGGGCGAGCAGGAGATCCATGTTCCCCTCTGAGAGTTTCCGTTTTTCACAGTCAGGGGACAGCCAGGATACCAAGTCATGTCTTCCTGCCTGCAGGAAGCAGTGTGCTCTGCTCAGGTGCTGGGGTTACAGCAAACCCCACTCCCTGAGCAGGTAACGGGCTGCAGAGGGAGCCCAGCAGCTGGATGGCTGAGCTAGGGGATGGCCAAGGAGCCGCTCACCCAGTGTTCCAGCCCCAGACAGCAGCAGGGCAGCCCACCAGGAAACTTCCCGGTGGGCGCCCCCTGTAGGTCAGTGCCCCAGGCAAATGTCTTACTCACCTAATGGTAGCGCCGGCCCTGAACACGTCTCTGCTTCTACTCTGGAGTAACCTCTACCCAAAAGGGTTGCCATGGTTATCTGACGCTTGGCGTAGCTGTCCTGAATGTTGTGTTATTCGTGATTCGCAATTAATTCTTTAATCTGGGGCATGATCTGAGGTATGTTATATTTTGAAATTGAGTACATTACTGATGTGGGCTACTTTGTAACGTATGTGGATCATGATAAATTATCGCTCATGACACCCTAACTCCAGAATGTGTGACATAGGGACATATACTAACAATCTTATTACTATATCTTTTTATAGTCACTTATTTCAATATTGATTGATTCATGTATTTCCTACTGTTCTTTATATATCTATAAATAAAAAAAAAATTTTTAGAAAAAATATTAGTTTCTATTATCAGTACTGACATGAGGTCACGTGACTTGATTACTAAGGATCACTACTTTATGTCTGTTCATTCTTGCTATTATTTTATTAAGTACTAATTAAAATTATAACTGCAGCATATGTATGATTTATTTTTTTCCTTTATTCTTTATTTTTTTGGGTATAAAGCTTAATTTGATGATGTTATAGATATTAAGTAGGCCTGGACTTCCCCACTATAATTGTATACTATTTAGCTGTGTTGTTGCCAAGGTTACTATTGTGTTTTGGCTCTAAATTCGCAAGTATTGAAACTGCTTGAAGTACTTGAATTTTCTATATGTGATTATAAGTAATTTATACATTATTTTCCTGAACACCCAAAATACCCGTATTCTGGTGGTGGTTTTTTTCGCAAACCACTTGGTAGGGAATTGGTTAAATATGGCAATCCCCCATAATATAGACCAAGTTAGGGAGCTTTCTAAGCAGTTGAAAGATCAAACCTCATAAAATGAATATATTGGACATTGAAGAAATGTCATCCATCCCGTGATTCATTCATTACTTAATCCTACCATTATGCGGGACTGCACACCTATGGATATTAAATCTACCATGTCAACCTACCCAGTAAAATAAACTACACACACACACACACACACACACACACACTATCACTGACATACAAACACAGTGTCACTTACACATTCTCACTAACACACAGTGTCACTTACACACTCTTACTAACACACACACTGTCACTCAAACACAAGCTCACATCACCCTACATAAAGTCACACTTTATTTACACACAGAAATACAGTAATTCAGCAAACACCACACACACTTGGCAATCTACCCAGTAAAAGAAACTACATATAACACTTAGACTATTGTCTTATTTGGGACCAGCAAGCAATGTTCAGGTTGATTTAACTGAGGTAACACAGTGTTGATTCAATGTTTTAAGCCAGGGGTAGGCAACCTTTTAGCAGCACTGTGCCGATATAGGATTGTGATGTCCCGTAGCGTGTCGATCCTATTTTTTTAAAATTGAGGTGTGTATGCTGCCGTATTCTGCTTGTGTTATTTTTACTGTAATTGCTTTGTATTGTTGTAT